TTCCCCCATTTAGGAAGTTTGGTCCTTCAAACTTAATTTATCTTTAGTCAGGCATAATTCGGAACACTTTTCATTCAATGGTTTCAATCCTTTTTGATAGCCACTTACTTAGCCCCAAAGTCAAACAAAACTCAGTTCTCAACCAGTCAGAGACTTATCTTTTCTTCCATACAAAGCTTGTATGGTACCATATTGAAACTAGAGCGTAAGCTTTTGTTGTAAGCAAAGTCTGCGAACAATGGACAGATTTTTCTGACTTCTCGAAGATCTAAAGTACACATTCGGAGCATTTCTCTCAGAGTCTAAATAGTTCCTTCTGACTATACATTAATTTACGGATGGAAAGTAATGCTGAATCCCAATTCAGTTCTCATTGCCTCTTGAAGGCTTGTCAAAATTCAAATACATTTTAAAATTTCTGTCTAAAACAATAGATACTGGGACCTCATGCAAACGAGCAATCTTATTGGTATAACAGTGACTAGTCTACAAGCATCTTATGAAAATGTCACAGGAAGGAAATGAGCGAATTTAGTAATTCTTCATACAATAACCCAAATGGGACTTACACCTTGAGTACTTAAGGTAGCCCCACAATGAAATTCATAATCACATATCCCTAATTCCATTCCGGAATAGAGGGACGTCGAAGTAGCCCAGTCTATACCTGATGTTCAACTTCGACTTATAGCTACCGAAAATATTTAGACACAATTTCAATAATTGCCCTTTTCAAAGTAAGTCACCAACATATTCATTTCAGATGCCAGCCAACTTTATCATAGAAGTTCGGTTCATTCCCTTGTCACAAAAGTTCAATTCATTTTTCAATAATTCCACAATACACAATCCGATTCGGTATTTTCAGTAGCTCATTATAGCTATTCAAGGTTAATCAAAAGTCTTTAGGAATTTAAAGTGAATTCAGGCACTGATTCCCGAGTCAACAAAGATAACAACGAAGCGATCAACCACACGACATACGTAACTTACATCCCCATAGTACCAATTGTAAAATACAATAACACTGAGGCAGTCGACTTCTAATAGAATACACGTGTTCTTCATTCATTCAACAGTTTACAGTTTGCAATTCACAATTCAGTTCAATATTCAATTCTCTGTTCCATCGAGTCTTTCTACTTTATCTGAAAGTCGTCAAAAGCATAAGGCAATTCATATACGTAAATCCCCATGACGTCAAAGGCATTATCAAAGGAGTCAATCGCATGTCAAACACAATTCACACATTCTCAGGGTTCCAATCACAGAATATAATGACACTGGGTGGTTATATACAAAGCGTACCGAATTCACGCACTTTTCGGACAATCAGGGTTTTTCAAAGTTTCTTGGATGTTAAAACATTTACATAATACCAAAGGATGACATTCCGAACAAAACAAAGGAATAATCGTCTCGGAATCGAAGCACACCCGTTCGCGACCGTCGGTGGCCGATTCCAGATCGATTAGTCAAACCCACCCGTACGAAACCGTCGGTGGCAAAAGGTATCTCAATCAAAGGTGCTACATAGGCTTAACGTCCCCTAGCACAAAAGGATGTCTCAAGAATGTCATCAAAACAAACGCAATACCA